AAAGAAAGAAAAAAAATTTAAAAAGAGAAAGGAACATATATATCTCATTATAGCAGAAATGACTGTGGTAAAAGATGTCTATCTCCATAAATTAATCTGTACAAAAAATTCCTAACAGAGCCAGGTATGGTGACACAAGGCTGTAATTGCATCACACTGGGAGACTAAGCCAGGAAGAAAGTAAGTTCAAGACCACTTTGAGCAACTTAACCCTGTATCAAAATAAAGCTTTTAAAAAGGGCTAAAGATATTGTACAGATCAGACCCTGGTTTCAAATCCAGCACAGCAAAGGAGGCAGGGAGGAAGGAAGGGATGGAGGGAAAGGAGGGAAGGGAGGGAAAGGAGGGAAGGGAGGGAGAGAAGAAGGAAGGCACAGAAAGCAAAAAAGGGAGAAACAGAATTGCTCATGGAATTTTACAAGTTGATTCTAAAATTCATCTGGAATAGAATATGCTCAATACAGTAATAGTTTAGAAATTTTGGAAAATAACAAGTAAGGTTTCTTCCTTTTAATTATCTTCCCAGTGTGGTTAGACAAAGTACGGCAGAGAAAAGGGAAGCAGAGGCTGAATAAGCTGTTTGTTTAGAGAGGACTGATTAAACCAGTCCAGATGTTGTAGTTTTAGGTCAAAGTGACTGCTGCTGAAGACAGGCTGAGTGACCCAGGAAATCTGGCATATCTCAAATCACAGTATACCATAGAGATGATAGGCTTACTGAATAAACACCTGTGTTCTCATGTGCAAGGCAAGTTCTACAGAAGGTGTGCGCATACCGCCATAAGAATAGATGGATTGATTTTATGGAACAGAATAAAAATAATATAGAACACACAGTATGTGTTCATGTGCTGCGCAATCTTTTAAATTATTTTATGTATATTACATTTAATCTTCATAAATAATTGAAGTAGATAATTTATCATTTTAGAAGCAAAGAGATGTTAACTCACTTGTCAAAGTAACATGGCTACTAAAGCACAGATGTGGAACAATGATAGCAAAATAAATACATACATATAAATGAGAATTTAGTTTATGAGAAAGATAGGACTTTAAGTCATGAGGCTGATAATGAACCAGTCAATAAATAGCATTGGGATAAGTCACTATCCATGTGGGAAAAAGTTTGAGTCCTTTCTCCCACAATTTACAAAACTTAACCCTAAAGACCTAAAACTTATCTCTCATACAAGTTTAAGGTGGAAGTCTTAGCCAAACCATAAAGTAAAATCTATAAAAATTAACCAAGATGATTATAATAAAGTTCTCTATTTAAACTAGAATCCTGTCTCTCAGCCTATACTAAAATTAAATCAAGGAGCTGGGAATTTAGCTCAGCAGCATAAGCGCCTGTCTGGCAAGCACAAGATAATGAGTTCAATCCCCAGTACCAAAACTTAATTAATTAATTAATTAATTAAAATAAACACAGATAAAAAATCTATAAAAACAGAAACTTCAAACTGTGAAAGATAATATAGCCATAAGGACAGGCAAAAAAAATTCCTGAATAGGACTTCAGCAGCAGAGGAAATAATATTGAGAATCAACAAATGGGATTACATCAAATTAAAAAGCTTTTTCACTGGAAAAAAAAAACCACAATGAAAAGACAAGCTACAGAATAATAGAAAAATTTTTGCTAGCTACTCTTCTGATAGAAGATTAATATACAGAATATATAAACAATTTTTAAAAATTAACCCCCCCAAAATAAAAAAGGGAAATAAACTAAATATAAATTTCAAAAGAAGTATAAATGGTCAACAAGGACATGAAAAAATGTTCAACATATTAGCCATATTAGGGAAATGCAAGTTGAAATTATTTTGAGCCAGGTGTGATGGTGCATACCTGAAATTCAGTGCACTTAGGAAACAAGAACGAGGACTGCCACAAGTTTGAGGCCAGCCTGGGCTCAAAAATCAGAACAAAATAAACAAAACTATTTTGAGATTCCACCTCAGCTTAGTCAAAGTAACTATCATCAGCAATGAATTCTGGCAGATATGGGAGGGACACTTTATTCTGTTGGTCGGAGTGCAAACCAGTAAAATACAACCACTACATAAATCACTATGGAGATCCCTCGGAAACTAAAAACAGAAACACCATTTGATCCAGGTATACTCCTGGGTATATTTCCAAAAGAACTAAAGTCATAATATAATGATACATGCATACCCATGTCTATAGCAAGATAACTCACAATAACAAAGCAATGAAAACCGCCTATAGATGCCCTTCAACAGATAAATGGAAAAAGAAAATGTGATATATGTATATAAATATTATTCAGTCATAAAGAAGAATGAAATCATGTAATTTTCAGGAAAATGGATAATACTGGAAGGACATTATTTTAAGAGTTACAAGCCAGATTCAGAAATTTAAATGTCGTATTTCTCTTATATGGGAAATCTAAAAACTAATCGATTACTATAATTAATTAAAAGGTAACAGGAAAATAGAAGATAGACTATTGAAGTTGAGGAAGGGAATCAGGATATAGGATTAAAAATACATTATATGCATGTACCAAATTCCTACAACTCATTATTCTGATCTTCCACATGCTGCAAATATGATAAAATTTTTTTCTATAAAAGAGCTGAGAAGGGGTTGGGTGTATAGCTTAACAGTATGACACATACCTGGCAAGTGCAAGGTCCCAAGTTAGATTCTTGGTACCAAAAAATAAAAAGAGCTGAAAAAGAGCATTCTGGTGGGGAGGAACCAGCCGGTGAAAAGGTCTTGAGGTATGAACTGAAAGCAGTCAAAGTAAGAAACTGGCAGAGATGAAAGAAAAAGGTAGAAAGGAAGACAGAAGCAGATCACACAGAATTCTAATGACCACCACTGAAAGTTAGATTTTAATTGTAAGTGTTACGGAAACTCAGTATTCAAGAAGCTGAGGCAGGAGGACTATCATGAGATTGACATTAGCCTGGAATACGATGAGGTCAAGGCCATCCTGAACTACACAGCAAGACCCTGTCTCAAATAAATAAATAGATAGATAGATCGAAAGAAAGTGATGCTATCCTTCATGCTATATAGAGGTCACTTAACTATAATGCAAAGAACACAAGAAGTAAGGCAGGGAAGTAGCCAGCAGGCTACAATTTTTATGGGGAAGATGAATAGCCCCAGAATCAGACTGTCCTGCTTCTTACCCTTACCTTTCCTTCTTCTCCCCACTGAAGCTATATTACACGTAATTATGCATAAACACAAGGGACAAAATATGATGTGTCTCTCTAACAAAAAATATTTTTCAACTTATCCAGAATATACAAAAAAATCTGCCAAAACCCAGACTATATAAAGAACTCCTACAAATCAGTCAGAAAAAATTACAACAGAAAAATGGGTAAACTTTTGAATAGATAATTCACAAAAAAAGAATAAAGAGCCAAGAAACATATAAAACAAACTGGAACACCATCTTTTGCCATGGCATTAAAAAGGCTGCTAATATTCACTGCTGATAAGGCTATAGGGAAACAGGTATTTCTTATACACTGTTTATATATTGACACTTTTGGAGGGGAATTTCGGACTATTAACATTTACTTGTATATAATCACCAACCTAACACATTTATATCTACCCTAGGAAAATAGTAACTGGCACACAAGTGCAAACATTATAAGGATCTTTATGCAGCATTAAGAGAAAAAACTTTGAAATAACTAAATGTCAATCAATAAATGGTTAAACATATGATCTCTATAAATGTTATGCAACAAGTAGATCTCCATATACCAATGTTGAAAGATGTCCAAGCGAGTCACAGAACCACAAACAGGAAACAAAACCACCTCCATGTATACCTACATGCATGTAAGCACAATAAAAAAGTATACATCAAAGTAGACTCAAAGTAAGATAAGTGTTAGTCATGAGGACTTCTGCCTTAGTTTGTTCTGATTTTGATCAATGAACATTAAGTATATTTGTATATCTTTTGAAAATATTAAAATGAAAACCTACATCATAGTTACTAGCATCATAGAAAAAAGAGTTTTATATATTAGAGCATTCAATAAATCTTATCTTTAAAGAGGGATTTTTGGGGGTATTGAACCCAACGCCTTTGCAATGAACTCTATACTCAGCCCTTAGTTTTTATTTTGGGACAAGGTTTTGCTAAGTCACCCAAGCTACAATCAACCTTGTGATCCTCCTTCCTCACCCTCCCAGAATGCTGGGCTTGCAAGTGCAACAGCATACCTGGCTATTTTATTTTAGGATTGTTTCTTAAAGGTACAAAGTTCACTGAAAGGTTAGTACAGTAGTCTTTTAGTATTATTGGGGACTGGATCCAAAAAACCCATCCCCAAACAAAATCTGCAGATGCTTAAGTCCTTTAATACATAGTATTTGCGTATATCCTACCATATCCTCCTACATACTTCAAATCAACTCTAATTGTTTGCAATACCTAATACAATATCAATGCTATGTAAAGAGCTGTTACACTGTTTAGGAAAACACAAGATAAAAGTCTATATATGTTTAGTTCAGATGTAACTGTTTTCCAAATATTTTGTTCAACAGTTGGCTGAACCCATAACCATGCAATCCATATGGAGAGCTGACTGTATATACCCTTGTAAGGGATAAGCTGACTGGTACAGAACATAAACAATGCAGGTGGCATAAGTAAAGTAAGTAAAAGGGGGGGAAAGGGGTAGTCAGAATAAAAGTTGAACAGTATCAAAAACAGATGATAGCTAATTATAAAAGCTATCATTTTTTGAGTGCATTCCATGAACAAGACACTGGTTTTGGTGCTCTGTGCAAACACAGTCTCCAATTCTTGCATTAAGAAGCCACACTTTATAGAGTAAAAAGCATGGCTCAGAGAAACTAAGGATTGAGCTTAATATCAGCCCACTCCTCTCTATACCCTGCCCTCTTTTGGGTTCAAATTAAGACTGGGGCTGAGGGGAGCCCTTCTGGCCTAAACCCATGTGCTTAGCTGCCCTTACTATACTCTGCGTCCTTGAAGCATGCTCCCAAGCTGTCCTGTTCATCCAGACTGGCATTCTCCTCCTCCTCCTCGCTTTCGGTTCTCCAGTATGCTGGCCGCTTGATGGGCCGCTTCCCTGGGGTGCGCTGGGAAGCAGGACTGCTAGACACTGTGCCCAGCCCACTGCTGGAGCTCCCACTGCTTCGGTCCTGCCCCCCGGTCCACCAGGCCTGCAGGCTGGAGGTAGCCGGAGAAGACGATGAGGACTGCAGGTTGGCCATACACAGCATGCCCTGGATGGCCTCCTGAGTGCTGGGGGAGGCTGGGGCCTCGCTGCAAGGGACAGAGGAGAAATGCTGAAAGAGTTTCTCTAGTTGTCAGAAGAAATCAGTCATCAGAATAGTCAGAGAAAAGGGACAATAGTTTTGGGTATCAAAGTGGGAAGAAAGAAAAATCCACCCAAGGTGAAAAACTAGAAATCAAGCTAAAAGACCAAGATAGTATCAAAGATTGTTTTCATGAAAATCCAGTTCCTAAGAAGCCTCATGTCTCTTCATAGACAGCAGACAAGATGGCAAAAAAGGGGCACACTCTTCTTTGACTGTTCACCCATGCTACAATCTTTCCTTTTATTTTTCAAGTTCTTCTTATGTGACTCATCCAGCCCTTCTTCCAACTTCCAAAGCACCTAAAATTGATTCCCCATGGAGGTCTATACATCTATCCTTTCACTATCAGATCTTAAGTTCCTCAGAACAAGTTTCACATTTATTTTATCCCTTCAACCCAAATGCCCTGGATAATTCTTTGTCCACTTAAATTGCCTCAACTAAATTTTTGGTCAAGAAGGGGTGGGGGTCATCTAGTAACCTGGAGAGGAGAGATAAAAGCTAATACTCACCTGAGAGCAGCATAGTCAGGTCCCCCCACCTGCCTGCTGGCCTTGAGCAGATCAAGAATTCCACCAGCTCCACTCCCATTCCCAAGCTTGCCTTCAACCCCCTCCACCATGTCTTCATCTGTTGTATAGTCTTCCTGTTGGGAAAGAACATATCACCTCAACTATCCCAGGGTGGTCTCATAAGGCCCCAATATAGGGCTGACAGTTTAACTTCTAATATCTTATGAGAGTATAGAACAAGCACTACGCAAGGCAAAATATTCATTTTTCCATCTTAATTTTCATGGCTTTTCTTTAGTACTGATTGAACCCAGGGTCCTAATAGTAAACTATCTCCCCAGTCCCCACTCTATTTTTTGGAGACAGGATCTCGCTGTGCTACTGCTAGGTTGCCCAGACTAGACTCAAAGTTGCAATATCCCTGCCTCAGCCTCCCAGAATACTAGATTTACAGGCATGTATCAACATGTCCAGCTTACGTGGCATCTTTGGGAAGTACTGTAACTCCTGTTTTACAGATAAAGAAACAAGGACTTAATGAAGAAAAAGTTTGTGCAAGATCATATTAAATACTTCAAATCATATTGAGTGTTTTTACTAGAACATACTTTTTATTTTATTCGGCATTAATTATTTTTTAAATATTTCAACTAAATTATAATTTTCCACTTATATGCTCAGTAGCACTTAGCCATCTTCTACTTAATAAATATTTGCATTAAATATATAGGATGTCTTTAACCTTCCTCAACCAGAATGACAGTATGTCTCCTGTCTCTTACGACCAAAATGAACAGAAGACCAGATACAGGGTAGACTCCTACCTCAATATCAAACTCAACTTCTCCAGGTTCACGAATTCTGTTAGGATCAGAGCAAGGTTTTGCTCGAGGCAACTTCCGAGAAAATTCTTAAAACAAAAGGGGGGGATATATTTACTATGAAGCAAAATTAGCATCTGAGTCAAACACCCAGAGGAAAAAAAATAAGATTATAAATTTCTTAGAAGCAATAACCACAAGGAAAAATAAAGAAGAGACAGATACACACTTGGTCTTATTATCAGGGCTGCCTTCTCTTTTCCCAATCTCTCATCAATCTGAAGGTCATCATCTGAATCCAGGTCAAATTCATCTTCCATCACTTGTTCTGCCACCAGTCTTGTCTTCTTTGCAATTTTGGCTCTCCGAGACTTCGATAAGCTTTTTATCCTCTTTGTACTAAAGATAAAGGGAAACAGACATTTTTAAAAGTCATGTATACTACTCGAATGGCAAGGCTGAAGATGTAGCCCCATGGTAGGACATGTGTTTGATATATATGAGGACCTGGGTTTAATCTCTAGCACCACAAAAAACAACAAATTAAAATGGCAATTCTTTCCAAATTGATCCATAAATTCAACGCAACTCTTATCAAATTCATGCTTCTTTGTAGAAATTTTAAAAACTGGCAATAAAAGATACAGGAACACACAAAAGACCTAAAAAGCTAACACTATCTTGAACAAAGTCAGAGGACTTATACCATTGAATTGCAAAACCTACTACAACAAAGCTCTAGTAACCAAGGTAATGTAATATTGGAATAAGGGCAGACAGATGAATCAAACAGAACTGTGAGTTCACTATAAACTCTTCAATTTATGGCCAATCAATCAACTAGGCATGGTGGCATACACCTGTAATGCCACCACTTGAGAGTCTGAGGCAGGAAGATCACTGTGAGTTTGAGGTCAGCCTGGGCTATATAATGAGTTCAAAGCTAGCCTGAGCTACACAGTGAAACTTTGTATCAAAAACAAACTGATTTTTGCCAAAGAATTCAATGGGAGAAAGTATAAAACTTTCAACAAAGGGTAATGACAGTTAGGTGTGGTGGTGCATGCCAGTAATCCTGCACTTAGGAGGCTGAGGCAGGAGGATCATCATGAGTTCGAGGCCAGCCTGGGCTACAGAGGGAGTTCAAGACCAGCCTGAACCACTTAACAAGAATCTGTCTGAAAACAATAACAACAACACTCCACAAAAAAGCCCCTTTGTAGAAAAAGGTGGTTTTTGAATATAAGACAGAATGTAGCATATCGATCTGAAGAAAATAAGAGAATAGGGAGAGTACAGTAAATTCTGAAAGCAACAAAATTATTCTTGGTGGTCCAAGAGCCCAGCTACTAAAAAGTAAGATCAGAGAAAATATTGAGCACTGCTTTTGTCTAACACTCCTGGAGAGAAAAAACCATTGAGGATGATAATCCTCAGTCCTTTTTATAAAGGCTATTTAGGATACAGTGAGATATATTTCCCCTCTGCCATCTTTTTCTCATTGCTCTTGCTATCTGCTATAGCTGCCAGAAGCTGCTATCTGGTGAACCGAGAAGATGAAAGTATTTTACAGATGCTTTTCTCAAAGTTCAGTGTTTTATGGGGAGTGAGGTATAGATGAAACAAAAATGGCTGTATGTTTATAATTGTTGAAGCTTAGCTGTATGATAGATGAAGTTTGAAGATTTTCATAATTAGAAGTTAATAAAAAATCTGAGAGGAAATGTATCATTTATTGAACATTTGCTATATGTCCAACTCTATCTTGGTTATTTACATATTATTTAGGGCTCACAGCAACCCTCAGAGTAGGTATTGTTACCATCATTTTGCTTGGGTGAAAATAGATAACTTAGTTATCATTGAGTACTTGTTATGCTACAGGCTCTGCATTAGCTCTTTTAATTCTCCCAATAACTGTATAACATATGGAGGCAGAAGGACTGCTGCAAGTTTGAGACCAGCCTGGGCTACAAAGTGATTTCAGGGCCAGCCTGAACTGCATAGCAAGACCCTGTCTCAAAAAGACAAAAAAAAATGTGACATAGAAAATAGGCCAGTTTATTTATTTTTTTGTCTTTTTGAGACAGGGTTTCACTATGTAGTTCAGACTGGCCTTAAACACACTTTGTAACTGAGGCTGGCCTTAAACTCATAGCATTCCTCCTACCTCAGCCTCCTAAGAGCTGAGATTATGGGCATGCGTCATCTTGCCTGGCCTAAACAGGTCAGTTTAGTAATCTCAATTCACTGAAAGACATTTTAACAAAGTGACTATTTGCTGAATGGGCAAACGTACTAATTTACCAGAAAGTTTTTTTTTTTTTTTTTTTTTTTTTTAGTAGAAAGTCTTTTTACTAAGTTTATTGGGAAACTCCTTTTTTGTAGTGCTGGCATGCTAGGCAGTTGCTCTATCTCTGAGCCAAACCCTCCAACCCATTCATTTCTTTTTATTTCATATTGTTCACCAGGTATAACAGGATTGTCTAAGCCACCACTGAGCTTTTTTCCATTTTCTTTATATACATAGATTTTTTCAATTCACACATAACATTTGTTCATACTTATGAGGTACCATGTTATGTTTCAATTCATAGCATATTACAGTGATTCACTCACAGTAATTATTTCATTATAGTGAATATATTAAAATTCCTGTCTTCTGTCATGAGATATATGATGTATTACAGTTAGTTATATTCACCCTGCTGTACTATAGAATAGCAAAAGTTACTACTTCTGTGAAACAATAACATTTTACCCTTTGATTGGCATCTTTCCTCCCCCTTCTTCCTATTCTCCTTTTTCTGGTAAGCAGTATTCTGCTCTCAACTTATTTAAAATCAGCTATTTTAGATTCCACTTATGAATGACATCTTTTGAAGTATAATTTATATGCAACAAAATTAACTTGTTTCAAGTGTACAGTTAGATGCATTTTAGTAAATTAAAGAATCTGATTTTAAAACATTTCTTTTGCCTCAAGAAAGATCTCTTATATTCATTTGCACTCATTTTCTTTCTGCATGTGGGTGTGTTTTGGAGACAGGGTTTTGCTGTGTAGTACAGGCTGACCTTGAACTTGCTTTGTAGCTGAGGCTGGCTTTGACCTCTAAGTAATCCTCCTGTTTCAGTCTCCAGAGTGCTGGGATTACAGGTGTGCACCACCACACCTGGCCCAAAGGGGCTGTTATTATTTGTGTTCCTACATTGTTTGTACTCTGCACTTGGCTCTAGACTGCTACTGTCTAATGTCCTGAATATCTAGATAATAGCCCTTATTTCCCTCTTCTTCCTGTGCTTTTCTATATATGTCATGATTTACTGACGAACAACTTAGCTTCTGGCCATATCCGTATCATCACCACATTTCATTTCCATCTTTATCAACCGACTTATTAAGTTCATTTATTAAATAAAAATCTATTATGTGCCAGGCTCTATGATAAGAAAATTACATATATTATCTCACTTAATCTCCTAACAATTCTAAGATAAAGGTAAATTTCATCTTGACACTAAGCTATAGAAGGGTTCCTTAATTGGCCAAGGTCACACAATGAATGGTTCAGAGCTGGAATTTCAACTAGGTTTGGCTGATTACCAAGACCACAATATTGTTAGCAGATTTCTTTTAGAAAATGTTCACTGAAAATTATTTTAAAGCTAGTATTGTAGCACACACATGTAATACCAGCACTTGGGTAACTGAGACAATAGGATTATGAGTTCAAGGTTGAGGTGGGCTAGAGAACAAGTCTGAAAGCAGTCTGAACTGTATAGTGAGACCTTGCCTCAAAAAAAAAAAAAAAAAGATTTTGGGAGAAGGGGAAAGGTAAGAAAGGGAAAAGGGAAAAAAAGAGACTAGAAGGGAAAAAATGGAAACAAAATTTTATAAATAAAGAGGGGACAAGAAAGCACAATTTGTAATAGCTAGGGGTTGGAAACAACCTAAATGCCCATTGGCTGACTAAATGCTCATGGATAAAAAAGATGTGGTACTTCTGGGGGCTGGGGATTTAGCTCAGCGGCATAAGCGCCTGCCTTGCAAGCAGGCAGTCGTGAGTTCGATTCCCGATACCGATAAAAAAGAAAAAGACAAAAAAAAAAAAAAAAAGATGTGGTACTTCTATACTATGGAGTACAACCTCAGCCATAAAGGACAAACTTGAGACTTATATAAATGTGTAAATGTGGGGCTGGGGATTTAGCTCAGCAGCATAAGCACCTGCCTTGCAAGCAGGCAGTCGTGAGTTCGATCCCTGGTACCAATAAAAACGAAAAAGACAAAAAAATAAAAAATAAAAAAAAAATAAATGTGTAAATGTGTAACTTGAGACCATACTCATAAGTGAAATAAATCAGACATGCATGTGTAAACTCATATTGTCTTCCTAGTGTAAGAAGTTGAAACTACACACACATACACACACACACACACATACACACACAATATATATATAGTTAACATAATTATACTACTGATTTCTCAGTTCACTGAAAAGAAAGGTTTGCACTGGTACTGTTTGTACAATTCAAAGCAGATGTCTTGTGCTGTAAGTGACTCATTTGGGGACAGCAATGCACAATGTACATATCATTGTTGACCCCTGATTGTTGTGTTTTGAAATTTGCTTTATTTATTTTTCTCTTTGAAATAAAGTGGATTTTAAAAAAAAGAGGGCAAGAAGGGTTGAAGGGAGGGGAAGGGGATGGAGGAAAAAAAAAGAACTAAGATGTATTACATACAGGCACAAATTCCCTACAATGAATGTGATCATTACGTATCAGAAGTGTACCAATAAAATTAATTTTGGAAAAAGTAATGCTGGCTACAGAGGCAAATGATCATTTTCCCAGCTACACAGGAAGCTGAGCCAAAGGATCACTTAAACTCAAGTATTTGAGTAGTCAGGAGAACATAATAAAATCCTGCCAGTGTGCTGTGGCATGATTTATTTATTTTTTCTTTCTTTGTTTCTTTGTTTCTTTCTTTTTTTTTTTTTTGTACTCAGGATCTTGCACTTGCCAGGCTAGCACTTATGCCACTGAGCTATATTCCCGGTCCTTGCTGTGGCATATTTCAAAACGACTTCCATTATGCTGGTGATGTACCTCAGTGGTACAGCCCTTGCTTGGCATGTGCAAGATCGTAGATTTAACACCCTAAGAACAGAAAACAAGAAAGAAAACTAATACATGTTTATTGCACATACAACAAATGCTACTTAAGTGAAAAATTTCTTTCTCACTTCTCCATCCAATATTCCAGAGATAACCACTGTTAAAAAGTTGGTGCAACAAGCATAAAATATACAACAAATATATTTATTTGCTTGAATACATTTATCTCTGGAATGAAAACAAGGGTGATGATAGTCTATGAGGAGAACAAAGGAAGACAGATGGGAACAAGATTTTTCACTGTGTATTCTTTAACACTTTTTGAGTTTTAAATGTTGCAAACTGAAGGTTAATCTTTATAAAAAATTTTGAAACATATGGAAAAATTACACTGCTTTTCAACATGTACAAAAACATACATGTGTATACAAATGCCTTTTTAAAGATAATGCAACTATTGCTATACATTATTTTATAACCTCATTTTTTCACTTAATGTATCTTGAAGCCAGAAACTGGCACATGCCTATAATTTGAGCTATTCAGGAGGCTTGAGCATAGGAGTTCAATGCCAACCTAAGCAATGTATTAAGACCCTGTATCAAACAAAACAAAACAAAAAAAGAATGTATCTTGGACACAGGCATCCAAGGCCATCCTTAGGCAACATAGGAAGACCTCCCCATTTCAAACAAAACAAAAAAGGAATATATCTTGGATATGTACATCAACAAATATTAAACTACCCCATTCTTATTAACAGTTTACACAGCATTACATTTGACACAAATTCCAAAATTTACTTATCCAATCTTTACTGATAAAGAATGTTTCCTATTACTTATAAACATGAGGTAGTGAGCATTGAATCATTTTATTTACAAACTTGTGCAAAGATGTCTGTAAACTAAATTCTTTTAAATCAAGTCACAAAAAACACACACACAAAAAAAATCAAGTTGCAAGACAAAAAGATAAATTCAATGAGTGTAACCATTATGTACTATAAACATGTACTAATAAAATAAAAAAGACAAAATGTATATAAAAGACTAATGCTTTTAAACAGGCTACTATACTAATTTCTACCAGTGGTACTACTCCACCTACTTGCTGAAATCTAGAACTTACAACAGCTCGAGATTGCCAATTAGATTCCAGGCATTTTACTCTATAGTGATTTTTTGATCTAAACACTGATATCTGATAATATCTGGAAGTACTGTATGTGCAGCCCATTCTCTACTTAAATCCCAACTCCTAGATCCCAATTGTGTATGCTGACCTAGTGGCATAATGCCAATGACAGTCCCAGTATCTCTGTTTCTTCTTTTAACCTCACCTGCCATTAGCCATCAGTAGGGCCAGTGAGCTCTCATTCCCATCAAGGTCCATGTCTGGTGAGTCATCATCTGAGTCATTCAAGCAGGTACCAGTCATGTTGAACTGCAGAAAAAGGAGGCTCAGTTGTCATCAGTCTAAGACTCCCAGGTGCATCAAGAAGGCCAATTCCTTCTGATTTCATGGTTGAGTTCATTGTCAAAGCCTACTAAACCAAAATCTGCTTTACCTCCCCCACCCAATCCCTATGCCTAGAGATCACAGGAACAGGAGGTTGAGAACACAGTATATGGTTGGTTCAGGGGAAAACTATCAATCCTGTAAAACATGTTCTCTTAAAAAAAAGACAAGAGCATCTTTATGGATGATACCATAATTTTGAGGCAAAATAAAGCCCTACTGAGGAGGGATTTTTCTCAAAGACCTGTTCAACACTCCAATTTGACACCTACACAGTGTTCTAGAATTTCACTGCAATCCAAACATTTCAAGATTCAGCTCTAGTGTCATATTTTTGGAAAAGAATTCCTGACAATCTCCCCTATCACAGAAAATCAACCCCTCTGTGTCTCAGGGAACCAAACATATCCCAATTGTGGAATCCACAATACTTCATTGTACCCATTTGTTTTTACACCTATATTTCTTACTAGCCTGACTCTGGAAAGTTACATCCACAGTACCTACCACAGTGCCAAGCATAGAAAAAGTCTCAATAAATGCCTATTAAATGAGTGGGACTGGTAGCCAAACACCAGGGGCCCTAAGGGAGGTGAAAGTCGGATCTTGTCCTTTTGAAACCTTGCTCTTCCAAGGGACCCAAAAGTGTTGGGCTGAACCCATGGGCCAGCACCCACCTTTGCTTTCTGGGAACAGCCTGTCTTCAGTGACTGATGATTGTATGGGTCCATGAGATTATAGCTCAACTGGCCAGCAGGCCCCAAGGCTGAACTCTCCTTGCCCTTTCGCTCTGCTTTCTTGAAGAGTTCCTTGGGCTTCAGGCCTTTCTTCTTTGAACCACTTTTGGAGGGCAGTGACAGCCTGGACATGGATACTGAAGTGGAATGGGCTGGCCTGGTTAAGGGAATGGAGCCGGCTGGGAAGATCCTCTGCAGCCCAAAGATATTGCTCGTCTTCCCAACATTCTGTTGGAAGATGTCCTACAAGAATGTTAGTACATGAGGGGGTTAGAGCTTACTCAAGGGTTCTGTCTATGCTAAGAGCAGAGGTCTATTCCCAGCGTTGATGGTAATGCCATGGAAGTGGCTTGCAGATGCTCCACATACACATACTCTAGTTTTTGCACAAGTGATCAAAAATGTATTGGGTGGCATTTCTTTACTCAGCCACTGACAAATAAGGAGAAGACGAGCATAGGACAGCACTACTGTCAAAACTGGAGGAAAAAGACTCCAAAAATAGCTGACATAAAACAGACAAACAAAAAAAGAAAATCAAGTACTAAACTGTGTGGTTCAAAGTCTAAGGACTAGAGGATTTCAAAGGAAAAAAGTTCTAGCCATAATTTTACTACTAACTCACTCTATCTCAGGAAATGTTATCTGACCACTCTGGGGCTATTTACTTACTTGTGAAACTAAATGACTAGACTGGAAAGGTGACTTTCAAAGATATTCTGTGGTTCTTTTGAACTTCCTGGGAGAAGTCCTAGGGACTGGAAGCCAATGGAAAACAGGAAAGGAACAAGTAGAGCCCTAGGCCTCCCACCTTCATCCTATTAAAAGCAGTTGTGCTTTGATTTATTGTATATACTGGGCTTCCATGTAAGACCTCATTTGAAACGCAAGATTCCATTCTTTTAAAAAATTTGAAAAACAATGGACCATATATAATCTATCTGTAAGTTCTCCTCAAACAAGCCCAAAGCTCTGTTTGTATAAGACTGGTTTAAGTAGGAAGAACAGGAGTAAAGGTAGGGCTTTAACTAAATCCTAAAGAATTTTAATAATTGAAATAGAAGAAAATGAAGTAGGAGATAAGACACTGTAAAGTATAGGCAGTGAAACATGCTGTAAATGATGGGACAAGAAGCCCAACTTCCAGTTGAAACTAAATGAACCTTCATAGTTTCTAAGCTAAAAATTTTAAACATCCTCAAGTCCAATTCTTCACTGGTGCCTCTGCTACTTCACCAGCCCACACTGAGTTCTTCTCTTTTTTATAAAGTCTATTAACAATAACAGCTCACATTTATTGAGTACTTACTCTGCCAAGCACTGTGCAAAGGGCTCTACATACATTAGCTCTTAATCCTACCAAAGCTCTGAAAGTTGGTAAAATTGGATCCTATTTTACAGATGAGGAAACTGAGACTCTGAAAAGCTTTCAAGTGACCAAGCATAAACCATAATCAGGTTTCTCTGGGTCTCCTACCACTATACCTTACTGCCTTGTGGTATATGCCACCTATTGAAACATGGCTTTGTAATCATCTTCGACCTGAGAGAACTGTCATTTTGTAGAATTCAGAGAGTGAGTAACAATATTAATATCAATAATGACAACTACCACCACCACAATGAACCATAAACACAACCTGTATGCCAAGAACTAAACTTAATGTTCAATTCATATTATTTAATCTTCTTAATCACTGAGTAGGTACAATTATCCTCATTTCAGACATGAAGAAACTGATGCTCAGAAAGCTTAATTTTGTTCAAGGTCCTCTACTAGATTTTGAGTTCTTTGTGGGCAAGCATTGTATTATTTATGTACCCTAAGAGCCTAGCCCAATGTGTGGCAGAGTCTCAAAGCATATAATAACAATATGAATAGATGACTTACTAACTGAACAGGGTCTTCCCAACCCTTTCCCTAGGTTATATGCCAATTAAAGAGGTCTCACTTCAGTACTGAGCCCTTCCCAAATGCTTTCCCTCCTACCATGCTTCTTACTTCAACCAGGCGGATCTCCCTAGCCAGATCTTTAATGAGTTGTACAGTTCGTACTGTCTCCGGGATCTCATCCTCATGGTCGGGCAGAGCCTGTCAAACAAGAGGCATAAGAAATAAACTCACACATACATGAACAACTAATTGTCAATGAACATTGCAAAGCAGTTTAATGACAAAGAAGAGATCTTTTCAACAACTGCCACTGGGTCAACTGGATACCCACATGCAAAAAATAAAAGAACTTTGATCCTTTTTGTACATTGCCCCTGCCCAACACACACACAGAAAACATCATAGAGCTAAATGTAAAAGCATGAAACTAGGGCTGGGGATTTAGCTCAGCAGCATAAGCCTCTGCGCGAGGTCGTGAGTTCAACCCCCGGTACAAAAAAACAAAAATAAAAACAAAAACAAAACCCTGAAACTATAAAGGAAAAAAACTTCCATGACTTTTGTTTAGGCAAAGATGTTTTAAGACATGAACAACACAAAACAAAAAGAAAAAGCTGATAAAATGAATGTGGTAAAAATAAAAAAAAAAATTGAAAAACCTCTGTTGCTTTAAGCCATGCCACAGACTGAAAAAAAGTATCTGCCAAATATATCTGATAAAGGACACATACAAGGTATGAGAAATTCACTTTTGGGCTTGGGCTAGGACTCTCATGAAATCAGTAACTTCAAGATCACTGGGGATAAACCAGCCCCTCCAACTAGGAAGACAGAAAGTGCTAGCTGAGCAGATACAGATCCACAGATAAATCAACAGCATCTCAGATTTGTGTCAACTTGCTTGCCATCTTTCTGTTATTTCTAAAGTTTTTCTTTGTGATTTCTTCTACCACCTTTCACTTTACTCATGTGTCCAAAGGACTTCTTTTTTTCTCATGGCTTGATTCTTTTCCCCTTTAGCTCTTGTAAACTATAAGGAATTAATTTTAGTGGCTGGGTAGGAAATAAAGAACCCTGCTGGATAACCCTAATGTTTCCCTCCCATACCAGGTGCTCTGGAAAGGTGAGGAAACAAATGCCTCGCATATAAGTCATCTGGACTTTACAAAACACTTTTTCCATAAGTATGGGCTCCTCAGAATTGTTTCCTACTTTTCGCTGCTCCCTTTGTCCATCTCTTTGAGGCCATTCCTTGGTCACTGGGTCTTATGACTTGGGGCATGAGAGCTTAGGATCCACCCAACCACTTCCATTTTAGTGTTCCTGGAACACAGTCACTCTGAAGATCATTCATGAGAGATGTCACAGACATAATAAAGACTGGCACAATTGAAGGATGTGGAGAAACAGAATCCAAGGCTAAGGCTCAGGTGCAGATGATTCAAGGGAGCAAGGGAAGACCCAAAAGATGACACCCAAAAACATATGAGAGAAAAGTTGGCAAAAGGAAATGGAGAGATTGTATGGGCTAAGCCTGCAGTGAATTTAAATTCCCCTTAGGTTACTGCCTGTAAGGAAAGAAATCTACAGAATATTTGAACCTTGAATATGTACTGATTATTTCTTCTTCTTCTTCTTCTTCTTCTTCTTCTTCTTCTTCTTCTTCTTCCTTCTTCTTTCTTCTTCTTCTTTTTCTTCCTTCTTCTTCTTCTTCTTTCTTCTTCTTCTTTCTTCTTCTTCTTCTTTTTCTTCCTTCTTCTTCTTCTTCTTCTTCTTCTTCTTCTTCTTCTTCTTCTTCTTCTTCTTCTTCTTTTCCTTCTCCTTCTCCTCCTCCTCCTCCTCCTCCTCCTCCTCCTCCTCCTCCTCCTCCTCCTCCTTCTCCTCCTTCTTCTCCTTCTTTTCCTTTTTACTTGTATTTCTAAAACCTGTGTGCCACCATGCCTGGCTAAGCCCTGTTTTTTAAACTTCAATACTTTGAAAAGGTAATTCATACACATGGTTCAAAAACCAAATAAGCCAGACATCGTATTGCATGCCTGTAATCCTGGTACTTGAGAGGCTGAGGCAGGAGGGTTGCTCTGAGTTCAAGGCCAGCCTGGCCTATAAAGTGAGTTCAAGGCCAGCCTGAAATGCACAGTGAAATCTTGTCTCAAAAAGACAAAAATAAATGACAAAAAAACCCACTATCAAACTACATATATATATAGTCACTCCTGTCTCTGACTTGACATCAGTTCCATCATCCTACCCCCACAGGTAAATACTGTCATAAGTTTTTGCTCAACCCAGATTGTGAGATAAACACACACAAACTTAATTCGTTTTCCTCCCTTTTTACATATAATGTAGCATACTATATACACAGGGCTCTGCACCTATACTTGACAAATTCTAGAGATCTTTCCAAATCAGGAGACAGACAGCTTTCTTATTTTCTTTTACCTGTTTAATATTCAGTAGGACAGATGGATATTGGTATATTTCTAAGAAGCCAAATTTGGCAGTTTGCATCAAGAGCTTTGTGTTTCTTTTATAAACTTTGACCTAGTAATTTCGCTTACAGGAATTTATCCTGAAGGAACAAGCAAGCGATGAATGAAAAAAGACTGGTGCATACTAAGATTTACTGTATGATTCTCTATAACTATATCCCTAAACATAAACATATAAAAAGGAAGCAACAATAAACAAGTGGATGAATAAAGATGTACATCCAAACAGAAGAGCATTACGAAAATACTAAATGCTTATGGAGAATTCTGGTGACACAGAAAATTAAGATAAGCCAATACATTCAGATACAAAATTGAACATATAATAAAACAGCAATTACATTATTTAAATGCACATAAAAATACCAGAAGGAAATATACTCAAACATTAATGGTAGTTTCTTCTCTGAGTTAAAATTAAAGATGCTATCTAAAATGTACCAATAAAATCTGATTGAAAAATCAAATAAAATTAAAAATATTTTTATTTTCTTCTATTTTTGTTTGTTTTGTTTTTTGCTTTTTTCTGAGACAGTGTCTTGCTAAGTAGTTCAGGCTGGCTTTGAACTCACTTTATAGCCCTGGGGGCTGGGAAGTATGTACCAAACTCATGGCAATTCTCTTGCCTCAGTCTCCCAAGGTGCTGGGAGTATGCTGAGATTCACCATACTCAGTCTTCTTCCATATTTCATTTAATTTTAAAGAGTAAATATTTATTACTTTACATAATCAGAAGAAAGGTTTAGAGAGAACCAAGATGATAGAATGGTGAGCAACAGCAAAATTCAGCCTCTCCAAGATCTAGAATCCAAATACTGGAAAATAAAAATCTGAAGAAGAAATAAAGAGAAGTAAATTGTTGGAAATTATGAAGGAATTGACAAGAAAGTTAAAAGCTACACAAAAATTTGAAAGATAGATTACAACACAGAGAAACAATCTGGACTCTCCACCCTTAACAAAGCATGCATCAGTCAGATGGGGTCCCAAGTAAGGCACTCAGCATATATCTGGAGAGTGCTTGGGTGGATCATCATTCCAGGAAGGGGTTGATTGTATAAATCTGGATCTCAGAGCAGCTAGAGGATTTCTTCACTAGAGTTTCCAGTGTTACCCTCCCATAGTGACTTGACATACATTAAAATCCAGAATAAAACCAATCAAAACAAAACAGTGAAAGTGATGCAGGATTTCAAAACTGGATAATAGGAAATAAACAGTGGCTACCATGATGCCTTTTACTATCTTCAAAATAGCTGCCCATACCATCAGGCCTAATTAAAAAGAAAAACAGAATCAAAACGGTGAAAGTGATACAGGACTCCAAAACAAGATAATAGGAAATCAACAATGCCTAACATAAAATATCTTTGTTATCTTTGAAATAGCTGCCCATACCATCAGATATAATGAAATCAAAACACAATAAAACCAATCAAAAAAACACAATGAAAACAATACAGCACTTAAATACAAAACAATAGGGAATTACCAATGGCTACCACTTTTCCTTTTTAGATGTCTCATCTCCTTTCACTTTCACAATATATTGTACATTTTGGATCCCACTAACTCCTTCAGTTCTTTATACTAGGGTGACAAATGATATTCATCCATGTGAGTCCAAACCATCCAAGAGCATGATCTCATGTTGCATCCATTTACCTACAAGAGCCTCATGATTATCCTACTTTATAGCTGAGTAGCTTTCCATTATATAAAAATGTTTTTTCTTATCATTCTTTGGTTAAGGAGCAAACTACCCCTACTTTTTTCTGGTTCCCTATCACATGGAGCACTATTTTCTCTCCCTTGACTTTCAGTCTGTGAATTTCCTTTTGAGTGACTGTGTTTCTTGTCTACCACATATTGATGGATCTTGTTCCTTGATCCACTCTGCCTGTTTCTTTTTATTGGTGAATTGAGGTCATCCACACTAAGGACTATGGCCAACATGCACTGTTTTGACTCTGTCTTGCTATTTCCCTGCTGGTGGCTCCCTACTTTTCCCCACCACCCAATTGTCTGCCCTATTTGGTGATTCCTTTCTATTACTATTCGTGGAACTATGGTCATTTTTTTCTCTCTAGAATACCCTTCAGTATTCTTTGTAGGATTGGTTTGGTTTTCATGAATTCCTTCAGTTGTTCACTGTCATGGGGTTTCCTATTTCTCCATTAATGTTGTTTTTCTGGAGAAAGGTACCAAGGATCAAAGAAACAACTTTGTGCTTGCCAGGCAGGTGCTTGTGCTACTGAGCAATATCCCCAGCCCTCTGCATTAACTGTGAAAAATAGTTTTGCAGGGCATATCAATCTGAGTTGGAAGCTGTTTTATTTCAGGACTTGAAATACTTCACTCTAAAGCTCTTCTTGACTTGATACTCTGAGTTGAGAAGTCTGCCATGATTCTGATGGGTTGTTTTTATAGGTAATCTGTTTCTTTTCTTTAATAGCCTTTAATATTCTGTTCTTGTGCTGAATTTCTGGAATCTTGAATGTTATATATCTAGGTCTAGATTTTATTTTGGTTATAGCTAGCTGGAGTTCTATATGTCTCACGTATCTGCATGTTAGGTCTTTTCCCCACACTGGGGAAGTTCTCTGCTATTACTTTTGTGAATAGTCTCTATGTCATTTATGTTGACTCTCGCTTTTTGGCTGACACCTATCATTCTTAAATTATTTTCCTTTGCATTGTCTTGCAGCCAGTTGAATTGTTACTTCTTTGTCCCTTGTTATTTTTAAGAGATCTTTTCTTTTGTGATCGCTAGCTGCCATCCTTTCTTCAAGGTCTGAAAAGTCTATCTTCAGTTTCTTTTGAGTGGTTTTGCCAGTTTTCAATGGAGTTTTTCATTTTCCTGATATCTCTGAGTCTGTTTCATACATTCCAATTATTCTTTATATTGTTCATCCACAATCTCCCTCATTCTCTTATGCTCCTCTTTTATTTTTAATCTATGTCTTCTTTAGATACCCTCAGCAACTCTTTTATTGTCTGCAATTTCTTCTTTTAGCTGAGATACTATTTATGATATGATTTCTTTTATGGCCTCATGAAGCAGTTTCTTTACTTCAGTTGCCCTTATCTCAGGAATTTCAGGTGTGCAACTTCCACTTTTTTCATTTGTAAGTCTCCTGGACTTGTTCTGGTTAGGCCGGAGGCCAGAGATTGCCTTTTGCTCCTTTGTTTTGACATTTTCCTGGGTTCCTCTAGACAAGTGGGTTGTGGGGTCCTAGGTGCTTCCCAAGTTGGCTACCTGTCCATAGTGTAGGGGGATGGATCAGGCACCTGGGTTTCCCCTAACCCAGGTTCCTAGGGAGGTGGTGGGGTCCAGGCTGGGCTTCTCAAGACACTCTCAACTTCTCTAAGGTGTGGTTGAGTGGGTCTCTCAGCCCATGATGACTATCCACAGAAGAGTCCCAATGGCAGCCTGCATGATTCATCCTGCCTGTACTGGTTACCTATGAGAAAGTCCAGATGGCAGCTCTCAATTTTAATTTTATCTTATCTTTATTCTATTATTTCTTCTTCTTCCTCCTCCTCCTCCTCCTCCTCCTCCTCCTCCTCCTCTTCCTATTCCTCCTTCTCCTCCTTTTTTCCTTTTATCTTCTGTTTCTGATTTGGTCTTTTTCTCTATTGCTTTTATCAAATTCTGTAAATACTCTTCTACTTCTTCATATACTCCTTTGTCTCACTTCTCTTCCCTCCTTTTCATCTCCTACTGTTTTTCAAATTTTTCTTCTTGAATTGTCCAACTCCAAAACCTTTACATCCTTAATACCATTTTTATTAATCTTTAGAAAGATAGTTAACACTAAGATCTTACTGTTGAATTCTTTCCTATCAATAGCAGAGATATATTTATTACATTTAGTGCATATTTGCTATATGTGAATACTAGGGTTGTCTTAAGTGTTTATAATTGTGGGTTTCTTTCTTATGGTTAAGGATGGCACATTATTGGTTTTTATGGTATGTCAATATCCAAATTGTCTTGGATATTATTACTGCTGATGATTTACTTGATACTGCCAGAGTTGCATAACTGTTGCTATTCATGCATTTTCTCTGTATGAAAAAACCTGGATAAACTCTGTGACATTATCAATACTTTGGTCCATTCCTTGAGAACAGGGTATTAGGTCAAATGGACTGCATCTTCCCCTCCCAAATTAAGAAAGGTGGTCAGAGATTGGGACAGAGGCAATACACTACACCATACTCAGAGTCTATCACTGAAAAGCAGACTAACTATAGGAAGCTCCATGCTAAGGACAGTCTTTTCACTGTAAGTACTACAAACCCAAGAACAAAATTTTCCTAATATAAAGAGTAAGCATACAGATATATGAGGCATAAAGGACTCCAAATAGCCATGATCAAAAGAGAACATCTCCACATTGTATTACAGTCAAACTACCAGAAGTCCAACAAGGGACAGAATCTTAAAAGCTGTTACCAAAAAGCAATATATCATAAGAGTAAACCCATCAGCAGTCTTCAATGCTAATCTTAAAAGCAAGGAAGGCATGGAGTAAAGTGTCTGAAGCTCTAATAGAAAACAACTTCCAACCAAGATTTTGCAAATCTATCTTTCAAAATTGATGGAGAAGTAAGGTCTTTCCATGACAAAAAGTACTTCAAGAAATTCATTAAGAGTAAAGAAGCAGTACAAAAATTTCACAAGGACATCCTACAAAGAGACAATGAAATCAACAATGCCAAAAAATGTAACAGAATGAATACACCAGGGAGGGTGAGCAGTTAATCAGAAAGAAAAAACAAAGAAAAATTGAAAATCAGCAATAGGAAAATAAAGCAGTAATAGGGAAAAGTGAATACATTTCAGTAAAAATTGTTAATGTGAATGGTTTCAATTCCCTATTCAAAAGACACAGATTGACAGAATGGATCAAGAAACAAAGCCCCACAATATGCAGTATATAAGAAAAAATATTTAAGCAAGGTATGGTGACATGTGCCTATAATCCCAGCACTCAGGAGGCTGAGGCAGGAGAAACCCTGGATTTGAAGGCCAGCCTGGGCTACAAAGTTAGTTCAAGTCCACCTGAACTACATGATAAGACCCTGTCTCAAAAAGACAAAAAAGAAAAAAAGGCTTAGAATATACATCAAAGAATCTTATTCTAGTCTTCACTCTCCATCCAAGTGCCCATAAGCCTCTCTTGTCTTTTCTTTTTCTCTAAACCATCTATCACAGGCTGTGCCTATGGACAGAAGAACTCCTGAGGAGATAAGGAACTAAGAATATTTACTTCTTAATAAGTGTGTGGAGCATACCTGTGATCCCAGCACTTGGGATCACTTTAAGTTCAAAACCAGCCTGGGTTACCTACTAAGTTCAACGCCACCCTGAACTAAATAGCAAAAAAGAAAAAAAAGTAATTACTTCTTTCTTTGTCCAGGCTCTAAAGGCCAAATTCAGGGCTTTGCCACCGTGGACCAGGTAGGAGGCAGGGTGTCTCCTATTCTCTCGCAAACCTATATGGGAAAGAAGAAAAGAGTGTCAATGAAGCCAAACAAAGGAAGAGAACAACTTGTTATCTTTGTAAAGCAATAGAACATATACTCAGTATTCTGTGCACAACTATAGATCTCATAATTCTAACAGTTTGCAAACACAGAACCTACTACAGGCTAGGCACCTGACAACTATTGTTTAACCTTTATAACAAAGTTGTAAATCAAGAATTACTTTTTTCATTTGAGGCTACAAGATGGAAGACATTTAACCAAGCACCCACAAATGCAATAAGTACCAGAAGCAAGACTGTAACCATGTTTATTTTGAATCTGAAAGCTATATTCCTTTCCTTATATTACTCTATCTCTTCGGTCTCAAAATGAGGACACTCAGGAGGACCATGATTCCAATTTTTACAGATTTAAAGGCTATTAATATAAAAGATGAAATGGCTACAGTCTGTCTCATTTCATGGGGAAGTTACTTTAAACAGCTAGATTTAGGTTCTATGAAGAATTTTCCTCAACTATTCTTCAGAACTAGTAGTGATCAGTTCCTTATCTAGCATCTAAACTGAATACTTAGTGACAGTCTAACTAAGTGGTAAAATAAGAGCTTAAGGTATTAAGTAGGAGACTACTCCGAGGGGTCTAAATCATTTTTGTAAGTTTGACATAATGGTTCCTCCTTAATTCACCTTTAAAAATAAATCTCCGCCCAAAGTAAAGGACTTAGTCTATCTCAGAAGTGACCTAAAAAGAGGTAGCCCAGCATATTGGCTTCTATCTGGGCTGATACCTAGGAATTAACACAAAGATGCCAGGATGGTCAGGAATGGGCCTTATCCCCATGGGAAGTACAACCAGGAAACTCTTTAACTAGTTCAGACTCAGTTTCTGACCTTAACTAACAGGAAACAGGGGTAATTTCACTGAGATCCAATTTTCTCCATCATTCCCTTCTGTACATAATGTTAAATAAAAAAAGCAAATTTCCAAATACCACACAGAATAGGACTCCATTTATAGAATATTCTTCAAATAATGAAGTTAAGGTATGGAAGACAAATTAGTAGTTTCAAGAAGTTATAGGAGGAAACAAGATGGCAGAGAAGTGAGTGCTAGAGCTCAGCTTTTCCAGGATAAAGTGCCTGGAGTCTGGAGGATACTAGGTTGGAGAGAAACCAATGTGAAGCAAGGGTACATGGGAACTGTGAGGGACCTATAGAGAAGAGAATAGGGTAAAGCAACAGAAAAGGGGTGGCCCACATCACAGAGAAGAAACCAAGGCATCACAACCTGACTTGCTAACAGCCATCCAGAAGACACAGTCAAACTAGTAACTTTTCTGTTCACAGAGAATAACATCAAGACTAGGACACTTGTATGTACTTGGAAACAGTGGGAAGAATGTAAGACTTTTTTTTAATTCTCCAGGAATCCTCAAGAAACACCAACAGGTGAGTGTCTGCAATACAAGCACCCTAGGACACAGTACACAGAGCAGATGCTGGAGAGGAAGGCCTGGGTGTTTCAACCTTGGTCCCAGATCAGCCCCTTAGTGGCAGCTTCACACTGCCAAGTTCCCAAAATGGATGAGGGAAGAACAGTCATGGGAGACTGCCAGCACTTGAAGAGCAGACTGCAGAGAATCACGCTGAGAGGTCAGAGCTGGATTCAGTTACTGCAATCAGACACCAGTTTCTGCCTGAGTTACACAGGATTGGAGGTTCACATTAGTGCTGTGTTCCCATTACTATACAGAGACCCAAAACAATCTTATGGTATGATATTTCTCAACTATCCCTGACAGATAGCACTGTAATTGATTTTCCTATTACAGGTGTAGTTTAATAATCCTGACTCAATAAACAAATTAAGAGTCAGTTAACTTTTCTGCCAAATCCGTCATCACACCCAGGGATAGGGACAGCAAGAGCTCCTAATCCATGAACTTGGACTGGATCGAACTGCAAAAATGCCTGCAACCTGGCAGAAAGAGGTCATGAGTCTGAGGTAACCCCAGTTTTGCAGTGGAGGGATCAGAGAAATAACTGGGAAGCATTCAGACTCTCTGGCACACAAGCTACTTGGGAATGACATACATAGTGTCTTATTAGAATAGCTAATCTGCATCCCCACTGAACATCATATTAGCTATTTGTATGTTTCTTGAGTTATTTAGTAAGGTAGGATTATATTCTTTTATATTTCCATATATATATATATATATTAGGTTGTTACTCTTTTTTTTGTACCAGGGATCAAACTCATGACCTCGCCCTTGCCAGGCAGGCGCTTATGTGGCTAAGCTAAATCCCTGGCCCTAGGTTGTTACTTTTGTATAGTTGTTCTTTCATTGGCTCTACATTAATAGGTATCTAGGTTCTCTCCCTCATGTCAGCTCTTTATCTAGTTTCTTTACCTCAAACACCCAAAACAGTATTATTAACATATATTTTTTAATTTTTTCCAAACACATAACCTCTACCTCCCAAGTTTTTAAATTTATCACTTAGCCCAATCATAGCCACTCCTGTCTTGATTAGTATAATTTCTAAATTCTCCCCATTGTAAGCCTTTGGCTCTTTCATATCTTACCTAGTTTACTGTCCTCCCTATAAACAACCATAACCATGCAATTTTCCTCAATCACACACTGAACCCCTTGTTCCACATACTTCACCCTTGCTCCCAGAAAATATCCTCTGAAAATTCTCAACACTAAGTTTTCAACTCAACTAAAAGTAGTCCAATGAAATCAGAGCCCACATGATCTTTTCTTCTGATCTACCATTAGTCTCCATTTCAGCCTTTCCGCTTAGTGCCTAACAAGACAGATCCAAACACCCCATTTCTCTACACCCTACATCATCTACCTCACTACAGAGCAACTATAAACAACAAACTGTAATAGTGTGCATAGACAATAGACAAAGCAGGGAAAGAATAACTAAAAGGACTATCATATAGAAGTGTTGTAAGATTGAATCTGCAGATGTTGTTATACATAGAAACAATTCTTTCAGCAAAACATAGGTATAAATTAGAAACGGTGGCACATGGCTATAATCCCAGCACTTGAGAGGCTGAGGCAGGAGGACTGTCACAGGTTTAAGTAGCCTGGGCTACATAGTGAATTCAAAGTTTGCCTGAGACAGCAATACCCTGTCTGAAAAAAACAAAAAACCTCCCCCAAACAAAAATATCATATAAAAAATCATATAAAGTAAATTACAGAAGGAATAAATACTAGCTCTGGACATACAAAGATGCAAATTACATCCTACTATAAAGCTCCATATCAGCCACAAATTCTCCTCAGTTCTCTAGTCCCCAATTTGCAATAACCACTCTTCTAAAAAGGAAGGGAGAAAAAAGAGGGGACACATAATTTTTAAAAAAGATATAAATAAACACAAATTCAAGTAGGAGAATGAGAAAATGAGGAAATAGAAGGTCTCTAAAACCCTCAGCTCTTACAAGGCAGAGCAAATCACAAAGTGAGGGGAAAAATACCAGATAACAGAAATCAATGAAAAGCTCGTACAAGGGATGAAGAAAGCAGATGAGTTCAACTGAACCAGAAGTTTACAACAATTACACACAATCCGCCCACAGTAAATTTTGGGGAAATAGCTAAAAAAAACACTATATAAGCTAATCAAAATAGTTCAAACTTTGAACAAAAGAGTCAACAAGGATACAGAATCCTCAAAAAGATACCAGATATAAATACCTAAAATAAAAGCCAGTATAAAATTCACACATTGCAGAAATGACCGATTGAAGACAGAATGTCTAATATTGGGCAAAAAATAGTGATTTACAATAAAGACCTCAAAGAAATCAAAATGAAAATAAGACAGCAAGAGGAGACTACACAACAGCTACGAGATGACAAGAAGATCATCAACACAAGGTGAATAGAACTTAAAGAAAAATCAAGAAGAATGCACAGATGGAGTCACTAACATGCTTACAGAAATTATGGGAAATTTCTCAAATATATGAAAAGATTTTAAAACACAAATAAGCAACACTTATAGAACTGCAAACAACTATGATGAAAGGAGAAACTGACTAAGGCATATCATTATCAAATTCAGATATCCAGCAAAACAACCGAATTTTAAAGGCAGCCAGAGAAAAACAAAAAAATCATGTAGAAATTAGCACCACAGACTTTTCAAACACAAATCTTGAAGGCCAGACGCACTTGCAGTGAATATTTCAAATTGTAAGAGTAAATTGCTTCCAGCTGGGCGTGGTGGCTCATATCTGTAATCCCAGCACTTGGGAGGCTGAGGCAGGAGGATCCTTGCAAGTTCGAGACCAGCCTAGGCTACAAAGTGAGCTCAAGGCCAGCCTGAACTGTGTAGAGAGGCCCTGTCTCAAAAAGGCAAAAAAAAAAAAAAAAAAAAAAAAAAAAACAAAGAGTAAATTGCTTCCAACCCAGATTAACTCACCCAAAACAACTATCCTTCCAAAAAGATGATGAAAAAAAAAATCAGAATATATATGAGTGCTAAACTAGCTTTAGAGAAATTATTAAAGAACATTCTCAACACAAACAACCAATAGGACACATGGAAAAAAAAGAAGAGACTAGTAAGGTCAATGAATGAACATTAAAAAAAACATCAGAAAAAGAAAAATTATACCTTAACAGATAAAGAAATAAATGAGAGTAAATAATAAACATGTCTTGGTAATACCTCTTAATGTTAATATTGCATCAACTCCCAAATTGAAAGACACAGACTGGCAGACAGAATTCAAAAACAATCCAATAATCTGTTACATTCAAGGAACTCACTTAACCCAAAAAGATATTCAAAGACTAAAACCTAAAGAATGAAAAACATTTCACATACCAGAACTACAATATCAAGCAACTCCAATATCAAATATGGTAAACTTCAAGTTAAAACTGATTACAAGAGACAAACAAGGTCACTATATACTAAAGAAACAATCCAACAAAAAATAACATTTATAGCCAAATACTGGAGCAC